ATTCCTCTTCCCTGTTTTCACGAAAAATTGAAGTAGTATTTAGCCGCAAAGAGAGCAGGAGGAGAGCGCCCATGCTGTGGTAAGCAACGACACTTGAATAGAAGCACACGAAAATAAGCTCAATCATATGACGTAAACAAAAATCACACCATCATGTTGAACTTCGCTGTTTATTTGCTCCAAGGATCTGTCTAGAGCACGACAAATCCCCTGCACATTGCTTATCACTTCCGATAGGTATTTGTCAAACTCACAGTTTGTTAAATCGCTATTTAAATAGAATAGGTCAAACTTGAAAAAGGGATTCTAAGGGGCAGAGCACAAAATTTTCACCATTTATCAATCCTTTTTGGGATATTGGGATATTCTACTTCCACTAAGATTTATGGTGACTTTCTGAGGTCTATACAATGACCTGTGGACCAACTGATGAACAACTCAGTGTTTTCATCCTCAGAGTCGGTCGACTCGTCGGCCTCGAACACTTGGTTGTCCACGGTAACAGCCGATACGGGATTCGCTCTTGGGACCGCGCGCGTGGTAACGAGACTTTAGTTCATCCTCTGCAATATAAAGGTGTCTATTCGCGTCTGCCAAGACGCTGGTGCACATTAAAAAGAACTGAAGGTGCGCCTTCTCGTAGCTCCCGCTTACGCGCTTCATTTGGCAGAGGCGAGCTGCCGTCCCATTAGGGCCTAATTACCCCATGTTTAGGTGGTTTTTCATTACGAAAGCGCCACAGATCGTCTTCATTAGCGAATCGAGAGGAATTCACAATTCCGACCGCACATTCCGCGTACAGTACGTACTTGACGGATGCTCTTACTCTACCGCTGGAACCCAGCAGACCAGGAAATACAAAGGATGAAACGATGCGACTTTCGCCTTTGATCAATCCTTTTTAAGATGCGGAGTAAGTTCTAGTTCCATACTAAATGTGATGTGGCCTATCGAATGACTTGCAAGGGACAGCCCAAGTTCAAGTCAGCGTTTTACCCTCCCAGACTGACCTGGTAGCGACATGCCGTCCCCGCAGAATAGAAGGGTTCGTTAGTCTGGGAGGGAACCGATCTGGTACTCGATCCTCCGACCGCTAGCGTGGTGAGAGGGCTACTTGCTTGAATGGAAATGAAACGCATGGCACATCTCAGAAGGAACAACAAGGTCTTCACCGGTTGTGGATGTTACTGGCGATGTTCTCAGTGAGAGACCATTCAAACGATCCCACTGCGAGGGTTCTACGTCAAACAGCAATAATGGGTTGCCATAAATAAAAGGAAAATCGGCAAAAAAAGTTCAGCGAGGCTGAAGAGCTGAGTGAAAAATGAGGAGATTTCAAAAAATGGTCCATTTTGTTGGCATGTCAATGAGTCAGAAAGAAGAGGCATGCGATGGATATTAAGCACGGTATTCAATACCCCCCCTCACTTCATTAATGAGCGAACTTTCCAGGTGATTGATACAGATCAAAATCAAGAGCTTGACGCTGAGAAAAGGACAGTACGCGTTGTAAAGTACGACGGAAATGGCCTCGGAATCAGCATCAAAGGAGGTCGGGACAACAACATGCCCATTATTATCAGGTACGTCCAGAGTAGAGCACTAGAAGATTCGGGACAAAGGTAGTAGGGTGAGAAGAGGGGGTGGGGGCAGGGACACCCCGGCTATGTCACTTTGGCTGTCCACTCTTTCATGGGTCTTTTCTAAGCGCTGGATTAGGTACTCACGCTAATTCCTATTTATTGAGATGGCTCATACAAGCAGATATGACGTAACATGGTCACTCCGCTGCTTGTATGCGCCAACTTGTGTTGGTCCGATGTTCCTTAACTTTCCTAGTGATACCTTTTTCAGCAAAATCTTCAAAGGAATGGCTGCGGATGCTACGGGAGAGCTATTTGTTGGGGATACAATCCTTGCTGTGAATGGGGAATCGCTAGTCGACGCCACGCACGACGATGCCGTACGAGCGCTGAAAAGAGCTGGACGAGTTGTCGACCTGTACGGTAAGTGGAACGAGAGAGAAAAAGATCGAGGCGTGAGGGTTTCAAAGGCGCATTCTGCGCTCATCGCTTAGATGGACTAATTGGGTAATCTGACTGGTGAGTCCCCGGAAAGTGCAGCAATGAGGAAAAGTTGAGGGCTCGA